CTCCTACTCCTTTTGGTTCAGATCTGGTTCAGTTTATGGTTCAAGATTGATCCTTGAAAATATGATTTTCTAAATAGGGAATGCGATTCCCAGTTGAAGGGAGAGAAAAAAATTTTGAAATTCGCCCCCCTTATTCCGCAAGATTTGGGCATCCATACGTTGGATCTCTCATCCCTTCAACCATCACATATCTTGTCCCCACGCTCATGCTCAGAATGGTGCACTGAAAAGAAAGCATAGACACATCATTGGAACCATGCTAGCCTTACTCTCTCAAGACTTTATGACCCTCACATATTTGGATGATGCAATGCAGACTATTGTTTTCCTTATCAATCGACTCCCACTCCCATTTTACAAGGTAATTCACCGTACCAACTCTTGTTTAAACAAGCCCCCGACTACTCCATTCTTCGTGCCTTTGGTTGTGCTTGTTTTTCGTATTTGCATCCTTATAATATGCGTAAGTTTGATTTCAAATCCTCTCTCTATGTTTTTTCTTGGCTATAGTGCTTCACATAAGGGATATCATTGTTTGGACCCCTCTACTGGTCGTATTATAATTAGTAGAGATGCTTTTGTAGAGTCTTCATTTTCTTTTGCATCACTATAAGTTACCTCCTCTACTTCTTCTTCCCCATCCTATTGGTACATACATATTCGCTCCTTTTTTTTCTTCTCCACAACCATCATGCCCCTCACCTCCCACTGCCTTACCTCTTGTACAACTTCTCTCCCCTGTAACTTCACATGACTCCCTTTTATCCTCCTCTCCAATCCCTAAGATGCGAACGTTTGAATCTATTATGAGAAATACTAAACCTATCCCATCTCCACTCGATCTCGAACTATGGTTACAAGATCCCAAACTTGTGCCTCTACTTCTCTTGCCACGAGGTACCCCCTCTCTAAGGCACTTCTTGCTCACCATGTAAGCATACCTAGTGAGCCCACTTGCTTCTTACAAGCTAATAAACATATAGAGTGGCAGCAAGCTATGTGTGATGAGTTCGTTGCTTTAATGAAAAATGGAACATGGACCCTAGTCCCTCCTCATTTTTCCATGAATATTATTGGTTTAAAGTGGGTGTATCATGTAAAAAATGCAGATGGTTCTATTCAGCAGTATAAGGCACGCCTTGTAGCACAAGGCTTCTCCCAACAACAAGTTGTTGATGTTGGGAAAACCTTTAGCCTAATGGTCCAACTAGCTACCATAAGGATTATTCTAAGCCTTGCTCTCATGCAACATTGGCTTCTTTGGCAACTTGATATTTCTAATGCCTTACTGCTTCTAATGTTGATTCTTCCCTTTTTCTCTTCAACAAAGATGGGATTCATATTTATTTGTTGATTTATGTTGATGATTTGTTGGTTACTAGCAATGATGCTTTTGCTCTCTCTCAGTTTATTTCTCAACTTTCTCAACTAGCTTCTTACTTTGCTATCAAAGATTTGGGTGATTTAAGCTACTTTCTAGGCATTGAGGTCACACACTCCTCTTTTGAACTTCAACTCTCTCAACACAAATAAACCACAACCGGGCTTTTTCTCTTCATTAATAGAAAATTTTCAAGCCTGAGCCCGAGCCTGACCCGACCAATGGGCCTACAACTTGGGCCCGAGCCCGGCCCTCATAAAAAGCCCAAAGCCCGGGCTTGAGCTTGAAGCCTGACTTGGGAGTCTAAGCGTCGGTGCCTGAGTTCACCTCTGAGAGTGAGAGAATGGTGCCTAAGTTCGCTAGTTCTTGGGATTTGATAGTGAGAATGAAAACTGAGAAAGTGAGAAGATAAAAGATGAAAATAGTTTCGGTCGGGGAGAGAGAGAGAGAGAGAGACGACCTAGTTCTGGTGGCACCGGACGTCGATACCTAAGTTCACAGAGTGAAAATGGTGCTTCTAGGTTTGCCGGTTCTGAGAGTCTGAGAGTGAGAAACTGAGAATGAGAAGAAAAGTGAGAAGATAGAAGATGAAAATGATGTTGGTCACAGAGAGGGAGAGGGAGAGGGAGAGAAGGGAGAGAGAGAGAGAGAGAGAGACAGAGACAGAGAGAGCTCACCGCTGGAGAAAGAGATGACCTAGTTTTGGTGGTGCTGGCCGCCACTGCTTGAGTTCGCAGAGTAAAAACGGTGCGCCTGGGTTCACTGATTCTGAGAGTTTGAGAGTGAGAAACTGAGAATGAGAAAAAAAGTGAGAAGAATTTAGGGTTAGGGTTAGGTGGTTTAGGAATTTAGGGTTTAAATTATATAAAAATTGAACAGGGCCAGGCTTTTTTGACAAATCCCAATCCCGGTCCAAAAAAAATTAAGCCAGGCTTTTAGGCCTGAGGTCAAATTTGCAAGCTAAAACTCATGTTCAAACCCATTCGGGGGCCGGTCCAGCCCGTCTGACTACCTGGCCCATGAACAGGTCTAAACACAAATATATCATACATCTCCGTGCTGACGTTGATGGTTGCAAACTTGTCACTACTATAATCAGCTCTCTAAGTTGGATGGTGCTCCACTCGATGACCCTTCTGAATATAGAAGAAGCATTGTTGGCTCCAACAAGACATTTCCTTTGCCGTGAACAAAGCGTGTTAGTTCCTGCAAAACTGTGGTTTCAGGTGTATAGAAGCTTTGCTCGAAGTTGATTGGATGACCGATGTTTTCTAAACTAACGAGAAAGGATTGGACCAATGTTCACGGTAGGCAATGGGATGATCTCGTGAGGTGGAGCATATGTTTTTGTTTTTTGCTAGTGCGATAATTTCAATATCAGATTAAAACGAAAGCATTCATGCTGTAAAGACCCCCTTGAATTTAAATACGTTGGTCTCAGATCTGAACCGTCCATAACTCACCTATTTGGAATTACCCGGATCAGTAGGGATCTGACATATCAATCTAAACACGTGTCAATCCAAAAATGGTTTTCCACAATCAGAATGCACAAATTAGTACAACAGTTTTACTTTATAAAAGCCCATTGTGCGATGATGCACCCCAAGTCTCCAAATGAAGCAACAAGTTGTACCTTCGTAACTGTGTTGAACATGGACTGTACTAAAGTGTGAGCTGGCCCAACCACTTCAGTTAAATACATCCCAATAAAAGCAAAACCATGGGCCCAACATTTAAGAGAGTGTCGGTGGAGGATCAGCAAAGTTGTAATCGTGTATGGATGATGGAATTTTACTTTTGGTTAATTGCTGAAATCTTTCCTAAAATTTGTTAATTACAGTCGTGTCCCCTCAATTTTTTTGAGGGCAGACCCTTTTTGTTGTTGAAGTCCTCTAATAAGAGGCACAGAAAAGCCCAAAATATCCATATCACTGAGACTGATTTCTACGGAAAGAAACAATGCAAAATTCATGAACAACTGAAATAAGAGAGTTTAATTAAAGTTGTAGCTTTACCTTTAAGAATTGATATGAAGAGCAAATTTAAAAAAACAAATAAATCAATTTAACAAAAGAGATTAGAGAGGTTTGTGGTAGTAATTGTTATGAATAAAAAATTTTGAAAAATAAATATTTGAATCAAAAGTAATTGCATGAGTGTTTTGGACATCTTTTGTGTCTTTGCTAGGAGATTCTAATATAAGGAGATGATTATAATTACCAAATTTTAGGGGAGGTTTCAGCAATTTATTCTTCTACTTTTAGAGGTTATTTTAGCTATGTGTATTCTATATTCTATAGATTCTATATATTATTCTCCATATTTTTTAAATTGTCATTTATCCCCTATACTTTACATATTGATTATAAAGGCATCCCTAATAAGATCCAATATATTTGTTTTCAAATTTGCAACTCGTGTATTTATTTTCTAAGAATTTCCCTTTAATTATTTTTAGAGCTATCGATGGATTGGATGTGGGATATGGTGGACCAGTCCCGATCCAATATATTTGACATTAGGGCCTGTTCGTTTTTTTAGATTTTGAGAGAGGAGAAAGTTTCTAAATGGTATTTTTTGCTCTCATATATCCATATTCTTTTTTCAGATATATGTGGAACCCATGGAAAATTTATTTTTCCTAGGTATCGCCTACCGGGATAAGTGGTACCTATCTCCTATGTGAATAAGTAGTTTTTCCATTTTTCCACTTGGGGAAAAAGTTGTCAAAACTTGGATGTGACAAAATTGTCATTTTAGTAAAAACTTTTTATGGCTAAAATGTCATTTTCCTATTTACGTGAGAAATACAAAAAAAACATAGTTAAATGCACTTACCCAATTACCTGAGCAAATGTAAGCCATTATATTAATAAAATAAAGTGTTTTTAACCAAAATTATTTTATATAATCTCCATAAAATTTACCCCATTAGATATACAATATAACAAAAATTACAAAAAAAGAAGAAAAACCTCTATAATTCTATTAATCAGTTTGGAACCGTAAGAACCAATCCCAACCCATTATTAATCGAGAAAATCACATAACCAAAACCGACATAATCTATTAGGGCAGTTCAGTAATATCGGATTGACCCACCTATTGGTAGGATGAAGATTTTGGGTTTTAAATTGGAATAATATAAATTAATAGGGTAACTTTGTGGCTTCAAGATTTAAACTGACGTTTTAACCATTAAGTTGCTTTTCATGGCATAGAGCATGCGTGCAGTCATTCCGTAAGCATAAGGACGTAAATGCAAATTCAGAAAATATAAACGAAGGCATATAAAATTTATTGAAACGCAGGGGCAGATATGCAAATAGCTTCATTTTGATTACTGTATTCTCTTAAATGTGCTCTGAAGGTTATAAGTTGCATTCTCCACATGTGACAGTGCAATTCAAGTGAAGTCACAGAGTTTGGGTTCGAATGGGAAAGTCATTTCACGTTTTCATTCTCCTCCTCTGCTTTGCAGCACTAACATCCTCAACCCAAGTGAGTTTCTTTACATAAATCAGCCCACATTTCATCTCTTTCTTTGGTTTTCAGATAATGGACAGTTCTAGCTTTTGCTCATTTTGTTTTATAGGTTTGGGTGGAGAAGCAACTGGAACAGAGCCTTGTTACTGTTGGAAATCAGGTAGGAAAAGATGCGTATCATACTTTTGTTGGATCTGTGAAGCTTATAGTTCAATTTGTGTTCATCTGTCTGTATTATTTAAATTGCAGCAGCATAAGCACAGGCATTCTGGGTTCTCTCAGGCAGGTATGGTGATCAACTGCTCCATCTCTCTTTTGTTTCTCCATTTTGAGTTTAGAAGCATTCGTTAGCTCAACAAAAGTGACATTCAGATCTACAAATTTTGCTTCTATGTTTGGTTATGATGAGAAAAAACTTTGTGAAGCCACCCGTTCAAATTCGTGGTTCATTTGTCCCAAAATCGACACATTCCACGCATAAAACAAGAATGCTCACAGGATCATGGTTTTACTAAAGCCATTATTTGGTGAAAAAGGTCATTTGGTCATTGGGTCACTGGTTCAACCATTCAGTCCGGTTTCAGTCATCTGCTGAACCATCACCCTTCATTTTAATTAATCTTCATCTTCAATAAATCACAGATCCGGAATAGTTGTGTGGTGGTGGCGTGGTGCTATTCCTAAGTATTTGTTTGGCTGAAAATTTATTTCCCTCCCCCGTTGGATGGTTAGCTCAGTTATCTGATTATTAGTCTCATCTTGTCCCTGCCCAAGTAGAATTTCTACTAGAAGAAAAGGTGAGGAAAGGAAGGAAAAGGTAAGAAAACCTATACAAGATTTGTAAAGGTTTTTCTACTTTTCCCTTCCTTTTCTTATTTTTTCCTTAAAATCAAACATAATCTAAATGCATGTCTCTGGCCCTAGAATCTTCTTGGCATTTCCTGTTGAAAGTACAACATTTAACTTCTGAACCATATACCGGGTTTATGGATCACAGTTCGCATATTATCTATAATATTAATTAATTTTCATATTTTAATTAAACTCAAAAATCAAAACAGATGAGATTTGAATTTAACTATTCAACCAAGTCAATCAATCTAACAGTCAAAGTGTTCAACTAGTTATTGATCATTATTTACCTTCGTAGTATAAATGCACTTTGAAAAGGTGATGTGATGTTAGTGAAGGGATGAGAGATCCATCTCATGGACGCCCAAAGATTGCGGAATAAAGGGCGAATTTCAAAAATTTTTTCTCTTCCTTCAACTGGGAATCGCATTCCCTATTTAGAAAATCATATTTTCAATGATCATTTTTGAATCTTAAACTGAATCAGATCTGAACCAAAAGGAGTAAGAGAGAATTATACCTGATACGGAGAAGTAGTATCTCCCAACGAAGGTGTTCACGCCCAATGAAGGATCCAAAAACTGCTCCCACTGAAAATGGCGCAGTGCAGGATGGAGCAGAATCAGCAGTGTTCTTCTCCAAGAACTCTGTCCTTCGCAAGAATCAGCAGGATGGTACGTGAGCACAACTTCCTTTCAATACTTTCTTAAAGAACTGATGTCAAGATCCAATCTTGACTTCTCCCACAACTGGAGATCGAACTGGCAAACAAGGCGGCAAGAACAAGGAGGCGGCAAGAGAGTATTCGCAGGGTGCAGAATTCTCTCTTCTTGATTTCAGCACTAAAGAAAATGTGATGATCTGTGTCCTTAAGGCTGCCGCTCCCTCCTTCTTTTGTTAACTTAAAAGATCAGCTCCTAATCCAATTAGGAGCAGCTTATCCAAATCACTTCTCTTTAGGTGATAGGGATAAACCCTTATCTTATCTGCAGATTAGATTAGCTTTCTSCTAATCTCATTWGGAGGTTTCWAGATCTGAATCATATTCAGATCTGAACTCTCTGAGTGGATAGGATTAAGACCCTATCCTATCTGCTACTCCATCTCAGAATTCGCCCCTTTAATTAACTAAATAAATAGCC